TCAATGTTGATAGGTTTATATTTTTCTAAAAAATCACAACTGTTGAGTATATATATCTATAATAGAAAACATGACATAAAAGAATTAACTACTTCTTTTTTTTTCCTATAAAATTTCAGTAAATATGTGTAAGTCATGTAGTTCATACGCAAGAGAGAAATATAAATCAATAAGAACAGACGTCATAGGTTTTTAATAAAAGACATGTTTGTCTGCATTAGTAATTTTATTTGACTACAAGGTATAGATTATTGACTTATATGATAGAATTATACTAGGATTTTACCTTATTCATGATTTCTTCGTTTTTTACTTTAGATGAATTTCATATAGAATACAATAATATACAATCAATCAAAGATATCTTAATATTTTAGTTAAGTATTATTATCAGGTAATTAAGTAAAAAACGAATGAATCGTAAAATTAAATCTGTTTAATTAGATTAAACCAAAAAATGGAGAATCGTTTAAGATCGTCGCCAAAGAGTAATGCTATTAGTTCTCTTTCGTTATCTGCTGAAGATACTCGTGGTCATTACTACGCAATAGGACAAACTGATTCAATAAGTCTTGGATCTCAGTCAGTTAATTGCGTACCTACAGCTACGAGTGCAGCAGCAGCATCAAATACACTCTGTATGCTTTTAAATGGTCGACGTATTCAACAGCATTATAAATTATTAATTGATGGCATAGTTCAAGTATGCCGTGTTCCACATGCTAAAAATATCATTGAAAAAATCCGTTTCTCACGTTTTCTACGTCGTTGGGAAGATCATCATATTCATCTTGAACAAAGTGAAATAACATCAAAAACAGTTAGTCATACTTTTGCACTATCTATATATATATACTATTTTGTTTTTTTCATTCAATAGAATGAAGGTTATATGGATAAATCAATACTTTATTCATCAATTGAAGATATATCTATATGGTCAAAAGCAAAAGTGATTGATTCAGATGGTCGTTTTTGTATCCGAGTTGTTACTAATGAATGTATTTATTTTTTTCAAGTAAATATATTTGTTTTTCTTCTTGAGAAAAACAGAATCGAAATTTGTTTTTTAGGTAAACACCCTTCATTTAAGAGATCAATGGTTATATTCAATTCAATGGAAGGTATGTTATTAAAAATATTTTCTTTAGAATCCTTTTTTTTTTTATTTTTTCTAGCGAAATAAATTAAAATTTGAACGCATTTTACGCTCAGCTAATCGTCCGGAAGTGCTTTTAAAAGAAATGACAGTAATTTTTTTTTTTTGCAATTAAATTCATTTTTCTCTTCTTCAAAATTAGAATATGATCGATTTTTCATTGACAACACCCATAGAAGATGTGGAAGTTCATCATTTTCCTATTGAAATTATTTCTGAAATTCTTCAACAAGTAAAACATTTCTTTGTAAAACAAAAAATTTCATGTTATTTCTAATAGCAACAATATAATTTACCACGTTTTGTCCATGAAAATGTGATCGTTGCACTAGCACCACTATTGGAAAAAAACTATCCATCACCAGAAATATGTGATTTTTTTAGTCGACATTGTCGAGATAGTCCACGCTCACAAATTGTTATTGAAATGTTTACACCAGTTGTTCAAAGAATTTTAAAACATAATACAGTAATGATTTCGAAAAATAGAAAATTTTGAATAATTATTTTATAAAAAGGATTTCGGTAAATATCCACGAATGAGAATTTTTGTTCAAGAATATCTTCTTGCTTTAAATTCTCAAAATGATGGTTTACGTGTTGTACAAGATTTCATCAAAAGGTAAGTTATATATATAATTAGAAGACTAATTGATTATTTTTGTTTCTATAGAATACATGGACCAACAATGGTTTGTCCATTTCCACGTGTTCTTTCGAACTTTGTGTCTGTTTGTCTCGCTGCCATCTATAATTTCTTTGAAGATCGAAAAAAGTAATTAGCTTTTTTTTTCTTCTATCTAATTTAGTATATTATTTTTCTTTTTTTTTATTCTACAGTTTTCGCTTCGAGGATAAAGATAGTTGTCGAGCATATGAAGAAGAAACTGAAACTCAATTAGTTTGTTATACGAAAATGTTACAAACAATGTAAGTATATATATATTAGATGACACCGAGAGATTAGAATCTTGTAGGCGTATTTATTAAAGAACTGGAAGGGGTGTAGTCTCATCCCTTTAGATATTTGTACTCATAGAAATGTTGAGTGATGACCTGGAAACAGGTTATGAAACTTCCGAAAATATGGTTTCTTTTTTCCATTAGATAGATTGTATTTGACTGTCTATCAAAATTTCTAAACCCTTGAAATACCACACAAGATGTCATAGTCAGTTGACAGATTATGGAAAAATAAGTTAATAAGTAGTGAATAAACCTAGATACATGACATAAAATAGCAAATAAGAAAGAGATGATGCGGATTAATATGAGATATGAGAAGATATAAGTAACTAAACAAGAAAATGTAATAAAAACTCAAGTGTATGAACTAATGGAAAAAGAATAATAATAATAAAAGAAGCGACACAAGTAAGGAAAATTAAACAAGAATAACATTCGTACGACGACGACGACGAGGAGGAATAATATAAATGATGGATAGGACGACTAGTTGAAATTTATTACAAAGTATAATCGTGATATAATTAACATATGGAAATGAATTGCACTTCAATGTTATATAGATAAACAAGTTTATATGAAACTTTTTGTTTTTTATTAATATACATAACTGTGTATGTGTATCTACATGATTAATCATAAAAAGTGCTTGTGTAATAAAATTATTTTACATCGAAAAATAATTCATATAAATTTTTAATTTGACAGATTGAATAATTTAAAAAGAAACATTAATTGATTTTTTAATCAAAAATGAATTCTGTCAGATGTTTTTACATTGGTTACCAACAAAAGTTGAGCATCCAATCAAGTATTTTACTGTTTCTGCTTCTTAAAGATAACATTCCTAGTAGTAATAAGGGTCATAAATGCCGTTAAATACTAGACATATTTACCAATCGTCAAAGATAAGATACACTCTTGAAAATACCGATTATTAGTTTATCATATGGAAATTTACATGTTGTTTTTCTTTTTTAGGTCTTCTTTTGACGATTGGCGACCTCATCTTGGTTTACTTCTTCAGTCGATTCCATTTCCTGATGAAGCACTTGCACATGATCGTTTTATCGAGTAATTAGTTTATTTTTTCAAAATAATAAACAAAAATATTCTTTTTTTGTTTGTGTTTAAAATAGAATATTTAAAAATGTTGTTAAATATTTCGTGGAAGATAATCGATGTGAAGTTCATCAGACAATATTAGGTATTCGTGAAGGTAAAGAAGGATGGTTTGAAATGTTTTGTTTGGGTGGTATTGCTTGTGATGATGATGGTGAAATGTTTTCACTTATGGTAAATTGTTTTATTTTATTAAAAAAATATACAATTTTGTTTTTCTATTTTAGCTTAGTAAACTAATTTCATGTTGTTGTCGAAAAAAACGCTTTTTATTGAGTATTAATAAACTATTACCAGCTTTAATGTTACTTGCTTTACGTGAAAATCAAAGTTCATTAGAGGTAAATTTAGTTTTTGAAAGTTTTATTTAAAAAAAAAATAAAAATCTCTCTTAGACTTTATGTGCTATGCTTGATTTGGATGCTGTTGAAAATCGTGATAATAAATTACAATTAATATCAACATTACAATCAACATCAACTGGTCTTAAAATGTATGCAAAAGTATGTGAGAGATTAATAGCATTAAGAGAATTACAACAAAAAGGTGGACCCAAAAAATTAACATTACCATCACGTTCAACTGATAGTGATTTAGCAAAATTATTATCAAGTGGTTCATTTGGAAATCTTGAATGTTTAAGTTTAGCATTTACAAATGTCACAAGTGCTTGTGCTGAACATCTAATTAAATTACCAGGCTTAAGATATTTAAATCTTTGGTCGACACAATTTGGTGATGCTGGTTTAGAATTAATATCGGAACATTTAAGCCGTCTACAAGTACTTAATTTATGTGAAACACCAGTAACTGATAAAGGCCTTGCATATTTAGCATGTAAGATTATAAAAAGAATTCTTTTATATATAATTTATTTTTCTCTTAGGTATGAAAATGTTAAGAAAACTGAATTTAAATTCAACACATCTGTCTCCACTAACATTTGAAGCTTTAAAAGTATGGCAAATGTTTTTTTTATCTATTCAAAAAAGAAATTATTGAAATATTTTTTAGGAAAAACTACCAGGTTTACAAGAATGCGATATTCGATATACAGATGCTTGGTAGAAATATATATATATATATATTCTGTTTTGTACAATAATCTCGTGCATTATTAACCATCGAATGAAGACATATATGTCAGTCAGATTGATGTCAAATTTTATTTTTATTTTTATGTGTGAATGTGTGCTTTCAAGTCCGAATTCGTCCTGTGTTCGTATTTTTTTCCCTGATTTTTGTTCATGGAATGTTTTATGAGAAATGCCTTTAAAAAAAATTGATTTATGTTTTTCTTTTTTTTTTCTTCTCGTCGAATTTTCTTTTTTCAATATTGTGCAATACATTATAGTGCACATTTTTTTCTATCATATCTAAATGACGTGCATTCAAAAATATCCTTGTAAATTTCGCTTCTTCTTCTTCTTCTTTTTCTCATTTGCGTCAATGTTTTTCATTCATAATTGAAAGTTTTTTTTCTTTTCATTTTGATACACAAATAATTATAAATAACATTTGCGTATTTAATATACATATATATATATATATCTAACTCTGTCTATATTTTATCTGAAGATGGGTATTCGAGGTTTACAAACGTTTATTGAACAAAAATTAAGTTTACTAAATGAAATTGAATTACACAATTGTAATGTTTTATTTGATGGTAATTCAATTTACCATCAAATGTATAAAGAATGTCATTTGACATGTTTATTTGGTGGTGAATATGATAAATTCTATGATTATTGTAAACAGTTATTTGAATCATTTCGTCTTTGTGAAATAAAGTATGTATTGAACTTTATTTTATATTTTTATTTATAATAAGAATACTTCAAAAATCATGTGATCATGTATTTGACCTATTGGATGCGGGTTTGAGTGGGTGACTGTGGGCGTGGGTTTGGATTGGTAAATGTAGGCGTGGGTGTGGGTTTGGGTGGATGAATATAGATTTGGGTTTAAGTGGGTGAATATAGGTGCGAGCTTGAGTGGATGAATGTAGGTGTAAGTGTGGCTTTGGATGGGTGAATGCAGGTGTGGATGTATAGGTACGGACTACTCTTCTTCTACACCCACACCCACACCCTCAAGATTTATTTCTTTTCCGGATTACTTGACATATTCAATTTTTCTGATCATGTGATTTTTAAATAATCTGCTAGTATTTATTTTGTTTTTCGATTAAAGTGTTATTGTTGTTTTTGATGGTGCACGACTTGATGATAGAAAATTAGCTACAACACTTCAACGATCTAAAAAACGTATTGATTATTCAACAAAATTAAGTGTTAATATTGATTTAAGTCCATTATTATTACGACAAACATTTCTTAATGTACTTGATGAAATGAATATTCCATATGTATCAGCATTAGGTGAAGGTGATGATGAATGTGTATCATTAGCAAATCATCTTAATTGTTATTTAATTTCACGTGATAGTGATTATTATTGTTATAATCTTTTACAAGGTTATATACCGTTTGAATATGTTGATATAAATCCAATAAAAAAAGATTCATATTATTATTTATCAGCTCAATTATTTACAATAGATTCATTACTTAATAAATTTCCTGGTTTAAATCATTCAACACTTTCACTTGCTTGTTGCTTATGTGGAAATGATTATATCAATGAAAATCTCGTTGAAAAAATATTCAATCATATTATTGAAATTATAGAAAAATCAAAACAGAATAAAACAAAGAAAAACCTTCGTACAAAACATTGGTATGCAATGCAATGGGCGAAACAATTTGATGATATTGAAATTGCATTAGAAAAATCACTTGCACCTATTAGTAAAGGAGAAAAAACTAACATTGAAATGAAACTTCGATTAGCACTTCAATCTTATTTAAATCCAACCGATACACTTATTTATCGTTTTATTTCATCCAATAATCAAAATCTTCTTAAAAATTCTCATTTTGTTGAATTAGCTCGAGATTATCTTGATAAACTTGATATGGTAATAGAATAATCTCAATTATTTTTGGGTAAAAAAAAAACAAATGTTACAAGATAATTTTCTTTATAGACTGATGAACAAATTCATAAACAAATCGACAAAGTTTCATTAGAAATAAAAAGTAAATGTAATCATTCAATTCCAACATATTTATTAGATGCTGTAACAGATCTTCGTTTATCGGAATCATTTATTGAAATTCTTATTCATCGTCGTTTAATTTGTTCAGCACTTGTTGAACTTGAAGATGAACCATCAATACATGTTGATGCTATACCAATTATATTACCTTGTCTAGCCATTCTACTTAAATGGGATGATGATGACGATAAACAAGATGATCAATCTGTTATTATCTATCATCGTGTATTTAAACAACTTAAATCATGTCCTTATTCAGTTAGTAATTTAAATGATAATATCGATCTTAATCATTTAAATTCTTTATCACTTATTGAACGTGAAAATTTTGTTTACAAATGTTTGAATATTTCATTATCTCAACGTGAAAAATATGTTCATATTCATTCTGATTATCATCTATGGTTAATGAGTATTCACTATTGGTATTCAATTCGTAATCTTAAACCTGTCTATATTTATGGAATAATTATTTCATTAATTAAATCTATTTATCTTGTTAATGATGATACTTCGCAATGTGAAGATATTGAACTATTATCATTATCAATCGATGATAAACGAAATTCTATACAAATCGAACCTGAAATCCGTCAAACAATAAATTTAAAATTAAAAAATATGAAAAAAAAAGTATATGATTTTAAAAAATTTGATTGTAGTATAATACATGAATTCAATTGTTTACAAACAATTTATGTATATACAATGAAAGTCAATGAATTTTTTAATCGACCATTTAATTATCAAATGCATGCAGATAAATTTTTATGTGGATCATTTTTTTATGCATTTGTTGAACATTATGAAACGAAACAAAATATTCACGATGCTATACGTGATCTTTTTCAAAAACATACAAAACTATTGACAATTATTGAGAATTTATTTCAGAGTATTGCATCCGATATTGATTTTTAAGAAAAATATTTAAGACAGAATAGAAATTTCTATTTATTTTGTTCTAGATGGAGCAGGAATTAGATCGTGATACTTCCCTTGATAATTCATATCCAGATGAAATGTTAAATTTAGCAAATAATCAAATTGATGAAGTAATGTCAAGTGCATTGCATTCTTTAACACGTATTCTTTCATCACCATGCATTTCTCTTACAACAACTACAACTACAGCAAGTTCATCACCATCATCACCTTTTCGAAATCCATCAACAATTTCAACACCCAACTGTTCTCTTCAACCCAATGTGACAATAAGATGTCGATCATCAAGTCGAAATAATAGACGTGAAAGAGAAGTTCCTTTTCATCATACAATACCACGTTGTTCATTACCAGCTACGAAGAATGATCTTGTTCAATATCATCAATCACATGTATTAACATCTCAAAAAATTAATCATACACGATGTCGATCTTCTCATAATGTTAATAGAACGTTTGATATTCAATATTCATTTAGTTTAAATAAACCATGGTTAACCCAAATCGATAAAGAACGTCATAATTTAATTAGTATACAAAATTTTGCTAACGAATTAATTGAACATTCCATTCGAACTGCTTTACTTCAGGTTTGTTTATTCTTGATTTCTAATATAAAATCATGTTTATTTCGTCTGTAGATTGATTATCAGAATATAACTGATGAGAGTACATCTATTTATGACGATGATACATCTTGTGTTCTATTCGATTGTTCACCATCTTATGTTCCCATCGAACGTTTTCAAATAATAAATACTTATATTGATCAATTTGTTCATTTAACTATTAAACAATCCATTGAAGATATAACTTTTTCGAATGATCATTCTATTGAACATCTATCAAATCGTCTTACAGAAAATGTAATAAGTGATGCTTTATTAATTTTAACAAATGATGAAGCCAATTCATCAACATTAATTTTAACTGATGATGAAAAAAATTCAAGAAAAAGTAAACGAAGATCAACAGGAAATATACGTTTAATAAATAATGAAAATAATGAATCACAACCGAGTTTATTTCAACAAATACGACATCGTTCATCATCAGCATTACGTTCCTTATCAACTAACCACATTAAACGTGATACAGTTGATTCTATTGTAAATAATTTAACTCAACAAATCTATATCGATTCATTCGATGAATTACGACGGTAAATATTATTCATAAGAAACAAGAGAAAGACGAACTAATTCGTATTTTTTATATTTAGAATTTTGACAAAAAATGATGGCATCTAATTCTTTTTTTTTCTTCCTTTCATTCATCTGTTGATAATCATTTGCAACACTTATAAAACTTCGCGTTTGTTTTTATCATTGTTCATGTTTTGTGCATCAAAAAAAAAATGATTTTATTTTTACTTCCATCTGTATTTTTCTCTATTGATTATCAGTCAGATTTATTTCGTCAATAACTTTTACAATTCTTAACATAAAACAAACAAAAAAAAACGAATATTTTAGATATGCATTTCCTCTGGACTCTCGGTGCTCGTTCATCTCCATCATCAAATCGTTTTCTATTACTTAAACGATTTCAATCAACACAAACAACTGCAAAAAATGCAAAATCTATTTTTACATATGGAAAAGATGGACATTATTTCCGTGACCGAATTGATCCTAATGAATCTGTAAGAATTTCTTATCGAAATTATGTGAAATAGATAGACTATTTTATTGTATAGAAATTCTCAAAAATTTTAATTGCAAACCGAGGTGAAATTGCCTGTCGTATTATTCGAACATGTCAAGCAATGGGTATTAAAACAGTAGCTGTTCACAGTGATGTTGATTCAAATTCAGTTAGTATTTCATTTTTGTTATTTTAAAAATTATTATTATTTTATAAATAGTTGTTTGTTAAAATGGCTGATGAAGCTGTTTGTATTGGACCTGCTCAAGCTAAATTAAGTTATCTCAATGAAGATATTATATTAAATGCTGTTAAACAGACCGGTGCAGAAGCTGTTCATCCTGGCTACGGTTTTCTTTCTGAAAATACCAAATTTGCTAAAAAACTTGTATAAAATATTTATTTATTTCTCTAACTAATCATTGATTATAAATAAATTTAGGCTGATAATAATGTTGAATTCATTGGTCCATCAAGTAAATCTATCGAAGCTATGGGTGATAAAATTCATAGTAAAGTAATTGCTCGAAAAGCAAATGTCTCTATGATACCCGGTTATGATGGTGAAGTTAAAGATGAAGATGAATGTATTCGTGTTAGTAATGATATTGGTAATTGAATTATTTTTATTAACATAGATATATATGCATTGATATGAATTTTTGGCAGGCTATCCTGTTATGATTAAAGCATCAGCTGGTGGTGGTGGTAAAGGAATGCGTGTTGCATGGAATGATAAAGAAGCACGAGAAAATTTTCGATTATGTAAAGGTGAAGCAGCATCCAGTTTTGGTGATGATCGTATGCTTGTAGAAAAATTTATTGATAATCCTCGTCATATTGAATTTCAAGTTTGTTAATAAAAACGAAGGAAAGAAGAACAATTTCATTTTTTTATAGATACTTGGAGATAAATCTGGAAATATACTTTATTTGAATGAACGTGAATGTTCAATTCAAAGACGAAACCAAAAAGTTATTGAAGAAGCACCTAGTGTTTTTCTCGATAAAGAAACTCGACGAAAAATGGGTGAAGAAGCTGTACAATTAGCTCATGCTGTTGGATATTATTCAGCTGGTATTATTGAATGAAAAACAAACAACAAGAATTTGATTTTGTTGTTTTTAGGTACTGTGGAATTTATGGTTGATTCAAAACGTAATTTCTATTTTCTTGAAATGAATACTCGACTTCAAGTATAACAATTTATTTATAAATCTTTCTATGTTAGGCTTACTTTTTTGCTAGGTTGAACACCCAATTACAGAAGCTACAACTGGTATTGATCTTGTTCATCAAATGATTCGTGTTGCTAAAGGTTGAATAACTAAATTTTCTTAATTCATTCATATTCAAATTTTTTTTTCTAGGTCATAAATTAAATTATAAACAAGAAGATATTACTATGAAGGGTTGGGCTTTTGAATGTCGTGTTTATGCTGAAGATCCTTATAAAGCTTTTGGTCTTCCTTCGATTGGTCGTCTTACATCCTATAAAGATCCAAGTGATATTCCAAATGTTCGTTGCGATAGTGGTATCACTGAAGGTAGTGAAATTAGTTTATATTATGATCCATTAATATGCAAAGTAACGTTTAAGATGATTGTTTAATTTATTTATGAATATTTCTAAATAGTTAACTACTTTTGGAAATGATCGACAAGCAGCATTAGCAACAATGGCTCAAGCATTAGATTCCTATGTAATTCGCGGTAAAAACATACAATTATATTTTCGTAAATTTGTTTTTCTTCTTCTAAAGGTGTTACAAATAACATTCCATTATTAAGAGATATTATAACTGAAGAACGTTTTGTTTCTGGTGATATTAGTACAAAATATTTACCACAAGTTTATCCTGAAGGATTTAAAGGCAAACAATTAAAAGATACAGAACGAGAAAGTTTAGTTGCATTAGCAGCATGTGTTGCTGTTAAAGGTGCACTACGAGATCGTTCATTTAAACGACAACATTCAAATGTTACAAGACCAACAGATTATGAATATGAAGTTAGATTGAATGATTTTAAACGTAAAATACGAGTTACACCAAGTGAAAAAGATGGAATGAAAGAATTTCATGTTTGTTCTTAACTTGTTTTTAAATAAACATATTATATTTTTTTTTGTATAGGTTGATGTTGATGGTAAACAAAATATAACAATAAAAGATAATTTTAAATTAGGTGATCATGTTCTTAAGATTGATTTTAATGGTCAACCATTTACAATGCAAGTTAGTACAAGCATTTTTTTTTTCGAAAAAAAATGTTATTAAATTCATTTTTAGTTATATAAAATGGATGCAACAGGAAATGTTACATTAATTTATCTTGGAACTAAAGTAAATCTTCCAAAAAACAATACAACAATTAATTAAGGAAAATATCTTTTTTTTCAATATTTAGTATGAACTTCGTGTATTACCACAACGTGCTGCAAAATATATGTCAATTATGCCTGCAAAGAAACAAATTGATTTAGCATCTGTTCTTATTTCACCTATGCCCGGTATTGTTAAATCTGTTAGTGTTAAAGTTGGAGAACGAGTTGCTGATGGACAAGAAGTTTGTGTTGTTGAAGCAATGAAAATGCAAAATAAATTAATTGCTGGTCGAGCTGGAGTGGTTTGTTGATATTAGATGAAGGAAAATGTTTTTTTATTTCTGTATTTTTTAGGTTAAATTTGTTGGTATTAAAGAAGGTGAAACAGTTGAAGATGGAAAAATCTTAATTGAACTTGAATAAATATTATTTCAAACAAATGCAAAACATAATAAGACATTTTTTTTCATGCGTTGTTTTTTCTTATATATCACACTTTGTAGTAGAGTATATTCATTGATGCATTTTTGACTTAATTTACAAAGAGAAATGAAATATCATTGATCATATCAATGTCTGATCTAAATATATCCTTTTTTAATTATTGCTATAGTAAATGAAATGATTAATATAATAGAGACATATGCATAAATATTTTCATTAATTTAAGACGACAAAGAACGATGTCCGCACTCAAACTGAAAGTCCTCATAGCAGGGGCAGGCATCGCTGGGCCTTGTTTCGCTAACTGGCTCGCCAAAACACGTCTTGATACATCTATCACAATCGTCGAACGATCACCTTCTCCGAGGATCACCGGTCAGTCGATCGATATTCGTGGTCCAGCAGTTGACATCATCAAGGGAATGAAATTGATAGAGGGTGTCCGCTCCCGACATACGACAGAAGAAGGTACAGCATTTTTGAATTCCTCGGGAAAGGTTTTTGCTCAATTCAATGTTGGCGATTCTTTCACTGCTGAATACGAAATCCTGAGGGCAGACTTGGCGGGACTTTTCCTGGAAGCCACCGAGGGCTTGGGCAATATCCAGTACATATACGGTGACTCCGTCAAATCTCTCGAACAGACAAATAAAGATATTAATGTGACCTTCACCGGGGGATCAAAAGACACCTTTGATTTGGTTGTTGCCGCAGACGGATCTACTTCGAAGACTCGGTCACTGATTCTGGACGATCAAGTTCTCAAGGATACTTATAATTTCCTGGGCCAGTACACTGCGTTCTTTAGTATTCCGAGTCGGCCAACCGATCCAAAGCTATGGCAGTGGTACAATGCTCCGAAAGGTCTCGGTCTCATGCTACGTCCGCATCGGAACACTTCGACTATGGGAGCATACTTGTGTATTACAATGCCAGCACGAGGGCAACGGGATCCAGTTGTCGAAGATGCTATGGACAAAGGAACGGAAGACACAAAACGTATGTTGCGCAAGTACTTCGAAAATGCAGGCTGGGAAGCAAAGCGGATATTGGATGGAATGGACCATGCAGAAGACTTCTACATAAGCCGGGCTGCGCAGGTGAAGCTTCCAGAATGGACGAACGGACGTGCTCTTGTATTGGGCGATGCAGCATTTGCAACTTTTGGTGTCGGAACGAGTCTTGCTATTGAGAGTGCTTACATACTAGCGGGAGAGCTATCGAAGATACAAAGCCGTGATGATATTCCACAGGCTCTGGAGAATTACGAGAAGGTCTTTCGCCCAGTGTATGCAAAGATGGAAGAACTTCCACCTGGTTTTCCACAACTTGCATTTCCACAGACTGCTTGGGGCCTTCGGATAAGAGACTCTGTATTGTGGCTTGTCAGCAAGACAAAGATGTACAAAGTTTTCCAGGGTAATTCAGGGATTGACTGGAAACTACCGTGTTACGATTGGGTAGGCATCTGCGAAAATGATGGACTTGTCAAAAGAGATTCCTAGGAAAACAATGTTTTTTATTCGAAGGACTGAGTGTGGGTGTGGGTGGGTATGGTGTGTGAATGTCTCTCTCACTACCCTCATATTTAACTATATCCTACTCACCCACACTCCTTGAATTTATTTTTTTAATTTTCTTTTATTTATCAATATAATAGAAAAAGTCTTTTAATTTTCTTCGCCATTTTATTATTTTTATTTTATTGTTAATATTTAAATGTAAAATTAAATTTTTCTTTTAAAAAATAGATTTTCTTAATCTAATTCTTTGCTTTTGACAGATTTCATCCTTATTAATTTATATTTTTTTCTTCGGTCTTCTCTTCCTCTCAACAAATCATAAAATCACAAAAATAAATCGAATAAAAAAACAATTTGTTTCTATTTAGAAGTCTTTTTTATTAATTTAAATGTTTTTCTCAATTTGAAAAATATTTTATTTGATTTTTTTAATTCAATTTTCTTTGAAATTCTTTTAGTTTCATTTACTCAAAAAAAAATTCTATTGGAATTATTGTATTGATTTCGATATTTTAATTTAAAATTAAAACTAACAAATATTTATTTACTTTCTTCATCAAAATGAAAAACAAACTTATTTATTTTAGTAAAAGAATGAAAAGTAATTTACATGTAGTTTTTGTTGAAATATAATTTTTTGAAATTTTCGATCACTATCAATCTTTAACAATACCTTATACCAGATGTCACAACAAATCTCAAGATTATAGATATTTTCATACATTTTGATATAAAAGTAGAGGGTGTGAGGTGTAGGTGTAGAGAAGATAGATATACGCGCTCTCACACTCTCACCCACACTCCTCAAGATGGTGGATCTTTGCTTATTAACTGAGTTATATCATTAATAGAAATACTCTATTCATTTTCAATAGACTTCCCAATTTCAACTAAATCAATTTTAAACTCATTCATTTTGCTAAAATTCTTTGGTAATATTGCAATCAATGCTCTAAATGCATCTGTTCTTAAATCCATATCATATCTGATTAATGATTGTGATAATTTGACAGTATCTAATGTATAATTTTGTTCGTCTTTGATCATAGTTGCGAAAGCATTTTGCCGTGTTTTTAAATCATTTCGTGAATTTCTTACTATATCCATATTTCCCGAAGTTTTTCCTATCGTTGTGATCAAATTTCATGCGTATTCATTATTATTTTCCAAAATTTTGATCTGACCAAGGATAGATTGTGGAATTTCATGCCCATTTTGATATGCACAGTATAATAAATCGAAAACATCGTCACCAAATTCTTTGTAATTTTCAATGAATTCTTTCAGGTTTAGAATGTCTTTCAGATTTATTTGTTAACTCTTAACTAATGATTTACTTATACGTATTATGTTTTTTGTTTTCGTCTTGTCTGACGACGACGATTTTATGTATTCACGACATTTTTCAATAAAAAACTTAGGTAAAATATTCAGTTAACTTTTCAAAACAATTTAATGTGAGTCTATTTTTCTTTTTGACATATTCTAAACAATCATCAACCATAAGACATGATTGGATATTTTGATAGGGTTGATAGGGTTGATGGAGTAACTGTGACGGATTCCATCCATCACTATCTCATCTATATCATTGTATGTACATGCACGGCGGACATGTACATACACACTGGTCATTGTTCATTCTTTTTTGTTTGTTTCCTCTTCGTTCGTCTTTATTGTCATTCGTTATCGTAATCATCCTCAACTTGCAACAATGTTTACATTCAGTATAAGAAGATGCTACTCTCAAAAAATGTTTTCCAAAATACGAAGAACTTTCTTTCCGTGAATCGTTGATTCAATACATATGAATCTATCATTCTTTTTATATGTTTGTTTTTGTGTGTTGAAACGTCTATAGCTTAGCTATTTTGATTATTTCATGATTACATGTTTTCATTTGTATTAAGTTGCAGATCAAAATTTGACCAAATCCAATAATTTTTCAACGACTATCGCCATACTTCAAATTGTATTATAGAAACTCTTATTCAAAGTAAGGTATTGTGTTCAAAGCTATTATCAAAACAACTTGGTTTTTGTTCTTAGATTCAATTGTCATGTCAGATAACAGAATAGAAGCATTTAGAATGGCACGGGCAAAGTTTTTCATAGATTTGAACTCACTAGTGATGGCTACAAATGATCTTGAAGGACAAAATGCTGCACTGAGATTTTGTCGAAGTGTTTATGAATTTGCTCGATTGCGACGAATGCTGTCAGATGAAGTTTGGACAAATAAAGAAGAAGAAGATGGTTTCAAAGAGCAGTTTGAACCAGGAATTATAGCATTTGCCGCCGAGTTGAGAGGTATTACTTCTGTTCCACGTGCTGCCAACTTATACACTGTAAAATTATATCTTTCTGCTTTTGAATTTATCCGGACCGATCTGATGCAGTTATATGAGAAAATGCAAGGAGCCAATCCGACTACTGAGCTTCAAAAAGCAATGAGCACAATTGAATTGCAACAGTTCTTTCTCACACGCTCTATGGATCATTGGGAATTTGACAACGACTATTACCATCCTAATAATTGGGAATTGCCCTGTTTGGAAGGTATACCAAAAGAACACAAGTGGTGGAATAAAGAATTAGGCATCACAAACAATAATGAAAGTGACCATGCTTCTGATTTTGATTGGACTGAATGAAGTTTGATCTTGTCTTTTTTTTCTTTATTGTAATTGATTTTAAAATAAAACAATCACTTCACATCGCCACTCGTCGCCTTTTCACTACTATCCTATGTTACTCTCTCTTCTTAAATTCACATCTAGGCTTAAGACGGAAATTGGATATTGTTAAAGAAAGAGAATGGTGCGATGATTTTTCAATAGAAAACATTTTAAATAACCGTTGTCAATCAAACCAATCTCGATGATCAAAAAGTAAACTTCTAAGAAATGGATGAGTGTGGGTGTTGCATTCACACCCTCAATATGATCGACACAAAGAATATTCCATTTAATTAAATATTACTGTATAGTGGGTGTGTCTGAAGAGAAAATGGATATATCCACACCTTACAACATTAACTGCTAAGACTGATCGTAATAAGATAGTTAGATTCTTATTTTTAAAGAAAGGATCAGTAAGTACTGTTTGAGACATCTTATCTACAGATAAAAATTGTTTATGAGATTCACCAAATATGCAATTTAAACACGTTAGAAAATAAATCAAAAGTATTGTTTTTGTTTCAAGTTTATTTAAAACATTGATATCAAATTAATGTAGTACAATAGAACTTAACCAATAATATCTAATTGGTTCATATTCATTGATTGCATTTTAGCACTTTAATAGTTTTATAATTTACTAGTAACAGTCAAGAAAATGTATCTTAAATTTGGTACTAACAGTTATTTGCAATAATTCTTTTTTTATTCTTTCAATGTAATTGCTGATATCGATTACATAGCATTTCATTGTTAAAAATACAAAAAAAAAAAGATTTCGTAAACACATCAGATCTTCATATCACGAAAAAA